AGCATGGTACCGTGATCCCAATGATGACGAGGGAAAATGAGAGCAGGGAACAAAACATAAGAAGATACCCTGGTTGTGTTGGCACTAGGTCTGCCTGAAGGCACAGTAGAGAGCTCAGGTTTTAAATAGTCTCACATTCTGGGTCAGATTTTGGGCATGAAGCTTAGCTACCTTTAAAAGAGATGTTTCTAATCACTCCAGTCTTGGAATCACTGCAGCCTCTTATATGGAAGGCTGATGCCTGCTGCCCACCTTAGGGACCACTGTGGAGGCTCTGGTAGAGCAATCTGCCACAGGGTCTCAGCTACACTTCTTGCACAACATCCTTCAAACCATCACTCATTGAAACAGCATTCATTAATCTCCCCTACCACACCCCTACCTCTTGACTTTCAAAGAAGAGAGTGAGGCCTAGAGAGGAGGCAGAGGGAGACAAAGGAAAAGGAAAGTAAAGGCGTGAAAGGTGCAACGGGGAAAAAAAAAGATGTTAAGGGTCTGTGGGAAAATATGAGCATAAATTGTAGAACTCACTGAAAAGGTCAACAGGAATTTAAATCAGATCTTTGCCACTGAGGAACCCAAGGACAGATGTATCTAATTTTGTATTATGTTTTGACCCAGCTTAATTATATCTATTTGACCCAGTTCAATTATATCCCATCACTGACTTCAAAAAGAATATTCAACCCTGAAGAAAGACGTGCTAAATTCATTTAAGCTGTTAATACATGCTGCTTAGCCTTCCTTTCTCTCTCCACCTCCATTGCTTAACGCTTTACCACCCAGCCTCTGGATAGAGAGCAACAAACCACAAATATTCTTCCCCAGGGTGAGCGGTGACACCTGAATGCTCAACGATCATCTCCCATTCCAGTTGTTCTCTTCCTTGACCACTGTGTGGTATTTGGACTCCCTATGCTTTCCTCACTGCCTAGATGACCTCACTGCTTGGTTCTTCCTTTCCAAGATCATCATCTACCCCTGATATTCATGCAGTACTCAAACCCCTGTTCAACCTAAGTCTAGGTGCTGGGTCACAACACTCAGTAGGGCTCAGACTCTGCCCCCAGGAATCTCAAATCAGTTGGGTATCCTTTCATCTCTACTGGGGCATCTCCTCAGGATTCCTTACCCACTGAGGCCCTTTTCAGTGTAGTGTCTGAAGTTCTCATCTGTTCACCCATTTCCCGAAGGGATTTTAGCTCTTCAGTCTGGACGTGAGTTCTAATTATGAGCCTCCAGTCTTGGCTTCTCAAATGTATATAGCACCAGCTAACCAAACCAGCCTTCATTCAAGTCCCTCTTCCCGTTTTCTCAACAGGTTTTTGGTGCTCTCTCTTCTTGCTGTTCTTCAAACATATCCTTTCTACTCTTATTTCTAAGCTTTTAATCACACTATTTCCATCTGTTGGAAAACTCCACACCCCATCTGGACCTGCAGAAAAACTAGTCACTCTGTAAAGTTCATAAAATGCCACCTGTTGCAATATGTGTCACTCTATTCCTTCTGTGGCCCTTCATTTCCAAAACCTAGATGCAAATTCTGTTTCCTTCTGTCCTCTGGTGGCATATTATGCCTTTCTCAAGTCTCCTAGCTTGTCTTCAAGTACATGTCTATCTGGTTCTCCACTTTAGTTTGTGACTTTTCCATCAGGCTATCCTCATTTAGTTCCAAATCCTGCTGGTGTGTGGCTGACATGGAAGTCACATCATGGTCAACATACCCTTTATCTCCAAACCACAGACTCAAGGGAAAAGTCTTCCTAAAGTCCATATTTTCCACTTCTCTTATCATTGATCTTTCTTAAAAACCTCCTTAAGAAATACAATATTTAAGCCATGGGTGGTTGTGCGGACACCAGACTGCGCGGCAGGTGGTGGTGGCACACACCTTTAATCCCATCACTCTGGGAGGCAGAGACAGGTGGATCTCTGAATTCAAAGCCAGTCTCGTCTACAGAGCAAGTTCTAGGACAGCCATGGCTGTATACAGAAATCTTGTCTGGGGAGTGAGGGATATATTTAGAATAAAAAGAGTATTTCTATTATTGTTTTGTTTGTTCTGCTTTTTCATGTTTAGTTTAGAAATAAAACATGTCTTTCCTAGTCAGAATAGAATGATGCTAGGGTACTTCAAATAAGCTGTTGGCTGCTGTGATGAGCATTTGGGGACAACAGAGCAGAAGTTTGGAGCTAGAAGGGCCCACATCCCCATCTTATCTCTCTAATCATTCTGTGTATGACCTCAGCTCTGTTAGTTCCCTCCTAGAGTTTAGGAAAAAGAAAACTAATCTTCTGGAGAATATGAAAGGAGTTTCTTTCTATTCTCTCTTTGGAAAAAGAAACAATTTTTGTACATTTTTCTAAATTTATATTTTCTTTACAAATTACAGAAAGCCATCAGGCATGGAAATCCAGTGCTCACTTCCTTGTCTTGAAGAAATTACAATATGTGTAAAGGGAGCTTTTGCATCACAGACATCAAATTTCAATTTCTCTATCATTTAGCCACCAGGACCTCTCCTTAAAGAGTACAATGACGTCCTAAGCACATGACTGAGCAGATCAGAGTGCAATGACAATAGCCCTCCAAGGCCACCTTGCCTGCTATGCAGCAGGGAGGGGCTTTCCAAGGCAAACCTCAAAGCCCTAGGGAGGACCAGTGGGATTGTTTTCAACCCTTGAAGGCTTTACTTGTACCCTTGCAAGGTTCTGAAGATTAATCCAATCAAATGATTCAGCATTCATGGCAGCGTAGAAAGCCAAGAAATCAAGACAATTAGACCACCAGTGGGGGGGGGGTGTCATTGAATTCTGGCAGGTAGGTGGGAGTCAGCAGACTCATGTGGCATTTAGGGCTTCCCAGCAACAGCGGACATGGGATTACTCTGGGTTCCTAGGTGTTCAGAAACTGAATGAATGGAGACGTAGACATTATTCTTAATTACTGCATATGCTGAGTGCAATCTTGCAAAAGGTGTAAGGTTAAAAATGGAAGGGAACGATTAAAGTAACAAAGCGGAGTGGTTAGGATTACAGACAACTTACTTAAAGCTATTGATGGAATTTTACTTTAACAGTAATGTATGCATACATGTACGGACATATATTCAGACACAGATTTCAGAAGAGTCATAGATAAATTCATCTTGAGTTCTGAGCCAAAATCCTTATCAGACCAAATAGAAATGAAACCAAACCAAGCCAAGCTGACCACTAACAGCAGGGAGGAATTGGGTTAGGTCAAAAGCCAAGTATCTTTCAGTGAACATAATTAAGAGTTTCGTTATCAGAATTGATGAGTTCCGGAGCCACTTATTGGGCGGCTGTCTTAAATACACCAAAGACACCATACAACACCTTGGAGAGTTTTTAGTCTACAACCTGGAAAGGTCTTCTAGCATTTAATTAACAAAACTGCCAGAAAATTCAGTCTATATGTGAAGACGTTATGGCCATTTTCTTTAATATAAATACTTAACAAATTAAAGTTTCAAGCAAGTTAAAGTGGCAGTAGATGTGAATACAAAAGAGATATCCAGCTGTGTTTAAACTACTGTGGGATGTAGTTTAAAACAAAAAGGGAGCAGGGAGATGGCTCAGTGGGTAAGAGCAATGGCCATGCAAGCCTCATGACCTGGAATCCACGTTTAAAAAGCTGGAGAGGTTAGCTAGCATCTGTAATTCCAGCACTCCTAAAATGAGATAGGAGCAGAGACAAAAGAATCACCCAGAAGCTTCCTAGCTGGCGAGCCTGGAGCACGCAGGGTAGAGCTGGGAGTATACAGGGAAGAGCCTAAACTATGCAGGGTAGAGCCTGGAGCATACAGGGTAGAGGCAGAAACCATGAGAGAGAATGCCTCAAAGTACAAACTGAGAATCAGCTCCTGAAAGTTGACTTCTTCATGCACACTATGCCATGTGTGTACTCACATTTACATGTATCACACGGTGGGGAGGGGGGCAGGCACACACAGGCATACACGTACAAAGGGGAAAAGATTGGAAATACTAACCTAGTTTGAACCAGCATAGATTCAGTAAATAAAATGAACAAAACATGATCTCTGCTTATTTAGCAATGACCTTTAGGCCATTCTTACTCCAGAAAAAATTTAATTATAATGTTTTGGTAAAGGAGACATAACTTCTATTTAGCATTTCTGTTGCTATGACAAAACACTCTGGCCAAAAGCAACATGGGAAGAAAGTGTTTATTTGGGTTGCACTCCTGCATCTCAACCATCAGTGAAGGAAGACAGGGCAGGAACTGAAGCAGAAAGTCTGGGGAAATACTCCCAACTTGTTTGCTCCCTGGCTCACAGCTCAGCTACCTTTCTTAGGCAGTTTGGGGTCACCCGCCTAAGGATGACGCTGCCCACAGTAGGCAACCAAGTCAGTACCCCATAGACACAGTCACAGGATAATCTGATTGAGTGTTCTTTAATCGAGGTTCCCTCTTCCTAGGTAACTCTAGGTTGTATCATGTAGAAAACCAAAACTAGGGCAATAATCTTTTGAGAAAAATGCATATGTACATTTCAAAAATCCAGAAATAATTTTACACAGTTAGATAATACATAAAATAGATGGCATTGATGAAAAATAATAATGCTGAATTCTGGGTAGGCACTTTTTCGATTGCATGTACTTAATGTCTGCCCAAGTCAGTTAATGTGTTTGCCATTTTTTCTTTGGAATGTGGAACAGTACTGTATATAAAATCTTAGGGAAGATTCATGATAAGGTTTCATGTATATCATACCAAAGCTAATTCTTATAAAAATCAGAGAAAACCATGGAGCAATTAAATTAAACCTTCCTCTAGGTTTCTAAAATTCATAAAGAAATGGTGGAGAAGAACAGCTTAGAAACAATGTCAGAAAGAAAAGTATGATGCCATTTGAACTTGGTTTGAAAATCTCTATTGCTTCCTTATGAAACAAGCTACAAAGCAAGTGCATAGCTTCCATTACGGTGCTACAGTGCTCAGAACTTACTTTCAAAATCCAGGAAAAAGTGTGGATAATTCTCAATTTCCCGGGTCAGGACCTTGAGCAAGTTTCCCATGCCAGCAAACCTAGAAAAGACAACACGAAAGCAAACACCATCAGGGATGTGAAAAGCTCCGCCTTCACGTCCTGAGGACCAAGGGGAGAGCAGCTCCATCAAGTGGAGATGAGCCTTTACAACTGTCATCTTACAGTGCATCCCTGAGCTGCTGGGAGCTAGGTAACCCTAGGTGGGGCTCCCTATAGCACAGCGGTAACGGGTGCGTGTGTCACAGGCCCCCAAAGTGCACACTTTGTACCATTCCACCTGTCAGATAATGATAATAAAATAATAATAATACTTAAGCATATTTGAAGCAGAAATTTGGCTATTTCTATGAAACGTTCCCATTCTCCTCTTATCCTGCAGCCTCTGTGATCATGCAGCTGACACCTCTGCCTCACTTTGCTTCCTGCTGGTGTAGAACAAACCATATATCACTGGATAAGTATAACAGACAGGGTGCCATTAAAATATCTGCCAGGAATAGCAAGGGTTCCTCTTTTCTCCTCTCTCTTGTGTTCTCTTTTAACTTTTCTTTCCCCCCTTCCTTCCTCTTCTTCCTCACTCCCACCATCTCTCAGACTTGCTAGGTAGCCAAGATTTCCAGGGTCTTGTTATGTAGTCCACACAGGCCTTGAACTCACGATCCTCCCGCCTTAGTCTCCAGGTGTATGCCAGCATGCCCAGCATACATTTTCTAACTTTTGTGAGAAAGAGTTCAGGAAACAGATTTCAGGTCCCAGGGACTCTCCTGATGCATGTTAGAGACTAGATTTCTCAAATCATAACTCCTACACCTGAGTTCAATTCCTGAATCCTACACAGTGGAAGGCGGGAACCTACTCTGACTCCATCTGGTAATGTGTCATCTGACGTCTACTTACCAGTGTGTGTGTGTGTGTATGTGTGTGTGTGTGTCAGACACACACACACACACACACCAGTAAATGTAATTTTAAAAGAAACAAAAGGCATAATATCAAGAAAGTCATTCTCGATGAAACAGCAGCCTCAGGGGCTGGACAGTTGGCTCAGAGATTAAGAGTCCTTATTGCTCTTGCAGAGGACATGCTTTTATTCCTGCCATCTACATGGTGACTCACAACTGTCTGTAACTCCAGTTCCAGGAATCTGATGCCCTCTTTAGACCTCCATGGGCAGCAGGCAGGCAAATGGTATGTATACATACTCATAAAATAATAATATAAGTAGAGCTAAAAAGAAGAGCTTTTAAAAGAAATGGCCTGAGGTGTGCATAGATGCAGGTAAGATCCGCTGGCAGATACAAATCTGCTACTTATCTACATTCCATAACCTAAGATGAAAGAATAGGCACGAATTATTTTTGAAGTAACCAGCAAACATTCTACTTTCTCAGACTGAGATATTATCAACTGTCTTCTGTGGAGGCCTCTCACCCATGTATCCCATTCATTCGACATATTTATGGGGCTGAAAGCAGACCCATGCTCTATGGAAGGATTTCATCTACGTCTGTTTTACAGATGATGACGGTACTTAACACCATTATCACTCCATCATGATCATCCCAACAGCCTTCAGACACATGTAGGATTTCCTGACGGACAATGGGGTTGGTAGGCTGCATGCAGCTCTGCAGAGGAGAAGGCCAATGGAGGGATAAGCTGTACTTCTCTCTCTAAAGAAACAGCTTCCTTATCCTTTTCATCCTCTGCCTTCTCACCATTTCCTGTGCAAACACATCCGAGCAAACCCCCCAGACCACAAGCTCTGTCAGATGTAAAGCTCAGGATGGGCACGGTCCATCCTGTCCTAGGCAGTCTTCTCAAGACCTATTAGACCACATTTTAATGAGCAATTCCAGTTCTGAGCTGGAGGCACTTCTTAGAGGAAGATGATTCATTTAATAGTAGGCTGGCCCCCAAACCTAACAACTTAATGGAAGTTAAATAGCCTCAACTTCCTTATTTTGCTGCTTTGAGTGTGTCTCACATTCACTTCCTTCTACACTCCTGTTTTATAAGCGCCGATCCACACATGGGAAATATGCCAAGCCTTTGAAATTGTAAAAGACCAAAACAAATAAATTAGACATATCTCCAAATGTTCCCCGTAGAACACTAACTCCATAAGGTTACATGAGATTGTTAGCCAACTACAGTAAATAGTTTGCAACAGGATTCCAACACCAGCCATGCTCAGTTACCTGGAACATCTGGGATTCTAGATGTGTGGGCTTGCAACCCAGGTACATCTGGAACAATGACTCAGGGGCATGATGCTCTATTAGGGGTTAATTCTGTTCCTTCTGAACCTTGGAAGCACGTCTTTCAAATGCAATGCAAGAACCCGAAATTCCTATAGAAATATTTCATCTCATTGTTTTCATGGGAAAAGAGTGTAATACTTGCTACCTTTTCCCAAGGTCAATAATACAGGATGTTTTATTCTCATTTAGGTAAGCCTACCAAGTGGATGGACACATCACAAAGATGGTCATCAGATAGCGCCATCTATCATCTGTCTATCTATCTGTCTGTCTGTCTGTCTGCTGTCTATCTGTCTGTCTGTCTGTCTGTCTGTCTACCTATCTATCTATCCATCTATCTTGCACACAATCAAAATCAAACCCAGGGCTATGAATGTGCTCTCTCTGAGCCATGTCTCCAGCCCATCACAGCACTTTTTAAATTGATACCTGAACTCCACTTAGAATGCCCCTCACCTAAACCCTTCATGGCAGAGATTCTCCTATTTGTTCAAACAATTACTGCATCAGCACACTGCTATGCACCACAGTACTAAGGAAATGGCTTAACTGAGATAAATTATTACTTGAGATTAAACATATTTTATGTTAATCAATAAAAGAGTAACGTTTTACACTCTGCTGGAGGACGCAGACACTGACATAGTTAAGTCGGAGCAAAGAGTATACAAAGGGCTGGTTGCAAGCAGGACACGAAGCAGGGGTCATCGGGCCAGTAGCTGGAGAAGGCTTTCTGCATCTGAGCTTTGGCAGAATCAAAGAGCAGGAGGCAAAAATAGTCTCTTTCAGGATTCGGTATTAAAAAAAAAATACGAAGATCACAGTGGGTAAATAAAGACATCATGGTTAAGAGCAAGTGAAGACAAGAAAACTCCCCTCTGGCTCAGAGCGGCTGCTTCAAAGAGGATGTCTGAGGATATACTAAGTCACAGCTCCCGTGGCAGAGCAGACATATGGGTGGCAGAGATGCCTGCTCTGGCAGTCCAGGGGTGTACTCCAGAGCCGCGAAACCTGGCATGCACGCTCTATCCGGTGACTTCATGGCCACCCCCTTCTATAACACGCTGCTCCCGCTTCAAGGGTTGTCAGCTGCTTGTCATTCCTGCCCAGCTGCAGGAGTTTACGTCGCAGAGAATACAGCCGGGCAGAAGGTGTTTGGGACCCCCGAGGAACCTTATTCCTTAAAATAGTATCATCTGAGAACAATGTGGCAGCAACTTGTTCTTGCTCTTGGTTTTATAGGAAACAGGCCAAGGTTCACAACTACCCTTCAAGAACTGATCAAACCTATGTTGAACATCCTCAAACCCAGACAGGTGCAGGAGGGGACTGTAGTGAGGGAAGCCACGATCACAATGGCAGCTGATACACAGCCTACTTGTAGCCCAGGGTACACATAGGAGTTTAATCTGGCTGAAAGTAATTAAACACATAAACACATGGCATGGGTGTTCACTGATTATTCATCAATATGTGGGAATAATAGTATGTTCCTGGTACTTATGGAGAATATCAGCATGTCATGGGGTACCTACTATGTGTCTGTAAGCTTTCCCACACTTTCGTTGTTCAAATCTTACAACAACTTTCAAGATGTTCTGTTTATGTTCATGTTGGTTACAGCAGAACAGAGTTCAAAGTAGGTTAACTGGTCAATGGACTTACGCTTGACTTTGGAAGTCTTAGAATGCAAACATCAAGTTCTTTTCTCCATTGGAGACAAAGTATGACACTAGACACTCCATGGGTCCCTGTCTGGGGACATCAGAAAATCTACAGTCTTCTGAAAGTGTATGAAGGGTATGCTATTATGGCAGGCATATGGTCCCTTCTCCAGGGAAAGCCACTACAGCTTCTATGACATAGCAAAGATATCCGCTTGCCATTGGCTCTGTGGCATGCAGGAAGCTTATGCTCCGCAGCGGTTCAGAGAAAAGATGAACCACATAGGGCAGCAGCACCTGGGCGAGTCTGCTTCCCTCAAGAAGAGAGCTGACACTCACAGACGGGCCTGGGGAATATGGGTGGAAGAGAGAGTTTTTCCATCTGGGGGATATTAGGAGTTAGGAAGGGGAAGGGATGCAAGTGGGGGTGACTGGCTAAGATCCCTCCAAATAGTAAAGACAAAGGATGCTTCTCTGGTCTTTTAGGTGTCTGTAAAGACAACCTGCATGGCCTTGACATGGGAAGCATCTGTCTTTAAGGTGGCAATTTCGGATATTGTGTGTGTGTGTGTGTGTGTGTGTGTGTGTGTGTGTGTGTGTGTGCACTTTCTCAGCTCTCTGTTCACTGACATTTATAGAACTGGCTCTACTATCACTTGGTGGAAAATCCACAATATTCCAAATGAAATATTCACTGCTAACATTTCCAGTTTCAAAAAAGAGAGAAAATTAATTCTCTCTCTCTCTCTCTCTCTCTCTCTCTCTCTCTCCCTCCCTCCCTCCCTCCCTCCCTCCTTCCCTCCTTCCCTCTCTCCCTCGAAATTCTACTTTGGCTTGGAAGAAAAAGTTTAAATGCCAGCATTAGCTGTCTTCCCAGAATATAAAGCCAAATGCAATCAATCAGGGCTTGTTTTTAAAAAGCTGTGTCCAAGCCTGGTGGTGGTGGTGCACACCTTTAATTCCAGCACTCGGGAGGCAGAGGCAGGCAGATCTTTGTGAGTGTGAGGCCAGTCTGGTCTGCAGAGCTAGTTCCAGGATAGTCAGGACTGTTACACAGAGAAACCCTGTCTCAAAAAAACAGAAGAAGAAGCAGAAGCAGAAGCAGAAGAA